CTACTCCTACTCCTACTCCTACTCCTACTCCTACTCCTACTCCTACTCCGACTCCTCCTACTGCTACTGCTACTGCTCCATTGCGTAATGAAGTGGGGCAGGACGAGACTACGCCTTTGGTGCCTTTAGTGCCTTTGAAGGGATGTGTCTCGGCGCGCGAGTGGGTCCCAATCCCCGCCTGACGCAGCCGGGTCGGTGGGGAAGTTCCGGGAGCCCCGTACGTCCGTAGCGTTCTTGTTAGTTGTAGTTACTTGGTCCTATAGTAGTATGGCCAGGAGCCCCTAGTAGCGTCCTTGCTCCCAGTAGCGATGCCAGGAGCCCCTAGTAGCGTTCTTGTTACTAGAAGTTACGGGTGGCTTGCCTGCTGTTGAAGAATGGCTCAACACCACCCAACAAAAGCTGTAAAATGTGTCAGGTTCTTTGACTGTTACCCAGATGATCTAAAGCATTCTAAAACTTTCAGGCGGTGCAGGATTTCAAAAATACGAAAAACATAGTTGAGTTCATCTTGGTTTGGAGATGTTTTCCTTCATTGGCCGACATCTTTGCTGTGTCCAGAGACAGATGGATTGGTGTGTGTGTGTGTAGAACATTGTAAAGTAATGTAAGACTTCACCACGTGGAACAGAAACAAATCATCTAGTTTCTAAATTTGGTTGTCATACATGCACTTGGTCCTGACTCTTGGCAGGTCAGGATTCAGTCCAATCAAGTCCAGCTTTCACAGAGTGGAAAGGTACAAAGGACTCAACTTCCCAACTTGACTCATTGCCAGCAGTTCCAAGGGTTCCAAAGGTTCCAGGCTTTCGACATGAGTGACTCGCACCCAGCGAGTGGACCAGAAGATGGTTGATGAAGCACCAGGGGTTGTGACCCGAACCAAACCTTCACCGGCGCATGGCGTTCGCATGATTCTTAAGGATCAATGCGTGCGCATGGCGTTTTGGGGTTCCAGAACTTCCAATAACTCTCAACCCAACTAGGAGTCCTACCCACCCTTTTCTTTCACTGAATTTCACCTTTCTCATCCACTGATGACAATCGCATGACCGAAAACAACAAAGATACAATAGTGCATATAGTGCCAAACCTGTTCCGACGAATTAATGTTCGGCACGATCAAACAACGCGAATTGTTTTCTGTGTTCTTGATGCCTGTATAGGGAATGAATTTATGAAGTGAAGGAATTCTGACAACATGGATCCTGGCGGCGCAGTACACTCTATCCAACCAGTTTTATCGGAAGTTGTAAGACCCCGAAATCGTCAGAAAGGCGTTGTCCATTTGAAATTTGGGCCCATCTCATTCACTTCCATGATTGTCCCAGTTTCATCCAGCTTCCCAGCAGCTTCCTATAGCATTCTTAGTTTCACATGATCTAAAAACAAACAACCTGGCAAATATGAATCATCCCCAGTTCCCCCCAAAACCATATCGGTTCCTCTGCCACATCGCTACAACTCCTCGAAGCTTTGCCGTTCCTGCACTCTTTGTGGACGACTCGTCCCGAACGTTGTCCACAGGGGGTGAGCCGCCGCAGGTCGTCCGGCTTCGCCCTTGACGCCACCTCCATGGCCCCAATTTCTGGAGCCGACCAGCCGCGCGCGGCGGAGAGCGCGCCCCCACGGGATCGGAAAAGCGCCCAAAAAGAACGCACCAACTGAATACGCACCCGCGGCATTTGAACGGATGCACGTGGTCTCGGCTTCTGTTTCATGTGTTGCATGTTGTTTTGGTATTGGGGAAGGAATACAGCCCAACCCGTCCAAACCCACCAAACCACCGCAGGAACCCGATGAGCTGGACGCTTCCTCGAACGAGATCCAGTCGTCTTTTCTCAGGTTCGGTACAACTGCGACCCGAAACAAGCCTCTCGAAACCTCATCACCGTACCTCGACGTCTATATATACCCGAACGGGCTCCTGTCCCATGTGCTCAGGTTCGGTGGTTAGACCCCCAAAATCCGCCCCAACCATCTTCTTAGGAGGTGGTTGGAGCCCTATAGGAATATGTGGATCCATGAGGTGTTAGTTTTATGATTGCTCTGGGGTGATCACGGGGTTCTTGATCTGGGCATCCAGGACATTCCTTCCAGATGGGTGATTTACGGTCTACCTGCCTCTACCTGCAGGTTGTTGTCAGTACATGGTGCTTTCCCACCAGCAAAATGTGACTTTTGAGTTTCCAAGGTCCAAGGCAGCGCTTTCCGTCATCCACTCCAAACCAGTTTCCACCTTTACAAAAGCGTCCTGAGCCCCTGGTCACATCCTGTCACCGCTCAGAAGTCCAAATCCGAACACCCGTCCCTTCCCCCCGGCATCCCTTCCGGACCCTGCGGAAGCCGCGCCTTCCGTGGCTCGCCACGGCTCGCCACGCCGCAGGAGGCCTTAGAGGATCGCCCGGCCTCGCGCTGGGCCGAAACGCCGGAGACACCGGACCTGTCGGCCAGGCCGGAGAGACGGGACGGCGGCGTTGGAGTGCAGGGGTCGGAGGAGGCTGGAAAAAGCCACGCACGGAGATTGGATGGGGCGAATTCATTGAGTGGGTCTTTGTAGCCAAGTCTGATGATTTGGTAGTTGGAGATATTCTGCATTCTGCGTTAGATGCATGAACATCATGAACCCTAACTTTAGACCGATCTAATCTTCTTACAAGACTTCTTTCAAGTTCTCTCACCCGCCTCTCCTTGCCGCCCGTCCTGCAGGACCCTCTCCCCACGGCCCACCACGCGTGGCTCTGCAACCTCCGGACGGCCGGGCACAGGAGACCAGTGGTTGGGGCCGGTGGGTGTGGGGCGAAGGTGCGAGACCGCAGACGTTGAGAAGGTATAGGGAGACCCTGGAGCCCTATAAACCCTCGGGCTCCTGTCCCATGTCCTCAGGTTCGGTGGTTAGACCCCCAAAATCCACTCCAACCACCTTCTCATCAGGTGGTTGGAGCCCTAGGGAAAGATACGCCCTTTGAAGAGACTTCGGTCTCAAATCTGGAGTTCTTGACTATTTAGATAGGTGCCAAGAATTCCCGTCGGGCTGTAGACAGTCCTTCGGGTGGATACAATTGCTTCAATTTACGCGGAATGACATGTACGATGTGTTAGCTTTTCATGTTTTCATTGAGCTCCGCTGATTGTGGAATGGCTGGAGCCTGGGATCGTGTGTCAAGGCAGCTGCCCACTTCCTTGTGCGTGTCATTTCCAAGTTAAGGTCAGGATGGAGTTGGCCTTGGCTGCGGGGGTCGCGGGCTTGAGCAATGGCATTTTCCCTCAACCGAACACTTCAGATCTCGCTTTTATGATATTAGTTATAGTTGTGTGATCAACTTGGCCATTCCTGCGACGCAGCGGAATGGGGCCTCCGCCAAGGGCTTCTGAAAGAGAACCTTGCAACAAACACTTGTGCTGCCTAGGCCTAGGCATTCAGTTCCTATGAAAGTCTACGTCAATCGCCACTCCAGGCGAGGTTTCGTGGCAGGTGCAGCACTTTGTGAACCTCAAAGTGCAGATTTCGTGGCAGGCGCAGTTTTGTGAACCTCGAAATGGAGATTTCGTGCCAGCACTTTGTGGACCTCGAAGTGCAGATTTCGTGGCAGCTGCAGCACTTTGTGAACCTCGAAGTGCAGATTTTGTGGCAGGCACAGCACTTTGTGAACCTCGATGGGCCGAAGATACGGAGGAACATGAATTCATGGAGAAGCAGGATGCCAGCAGGGGGGTACGTTCAGCATGCAACATTTGTGGATGTTTTTCCATCTGTTGGGCAACCGTTCGAATACCCATGGCCCATGAAAACCGACCATAAAGTTACATGCCGACACCAGGTGTTGTTTTCACATTGCAGATTGGACGCTGTATTGAAGGAGGCTGCTGTATTGGAGTGCTGTATTTGTATTTGTCCATTCTGGACATCTGTCAGGCGGGATGCGCCTTTGATTTCTTGGCCCCATCCTTTGCTGGGGATCATTGAGCATTGGAACTGTGCTTTCAGGTCAAAAAAAAATTCAGGCAGGACACACCTCCGGATATCCCACAAGTTCACTAGTTTAGGCTTCAATAGAAGACTCCCCCTGTACCGTCTGCTTCCAACGCCTTCCATTCGGCCTCTATACGAACAACCCGGTGCGGCCGCACTACGTTGAAAACGATGGCACCCGACATCGGGGGTGAACGGTTCACGGTCATATGCGCACGATCTCCCTGGCGAACACAGAAGCATCATGTTGCGTATTTATCTATATGTAATATCCATCATATATAATTAGATTAGGATAGATTTGGTTGTTTCTGATGATTTTAGTCATTTGGGTGCATTTGTGGCTGCAATGTCATTGCAACAGAAGATGATCCTGGAGTAGGGGTGGGCAGGCTGGGATGAGCGTCGCAGTCACTCACAATTGGCTCACATTTATGCAGAATCGCCCACAGTCACAAAAGGGCAAAACATTGGGCAGACCTTGGATTGTGCTGGTACCCTTGTACCCTTCTCACATTGCTGATTTTTTGGTTGTAGGTGTTGAAAATGAACGGAAAATATGTTTTCTTGGGTTGGGCTACGATTGGTCACATTTTGGCTGTACATGCTCACAGGCTTGTCCACTCACTAGCCAGTGCAGAATGCAGCAGCGAGTCCTGCCTGCCAAGCAAAGCATCCATGCTGCTCAATTTGAAAGTCACCATATCGCAAGTCACCGTTCCACAGTTAAGTGGGCTATACACATGCATTCAAGGATTCCAGCTAAAACCGCAGAGCCTTAAACGTTCTGTTTCTTTGCATAGTGGCAACTAGGAACGCAGTATGTGTATGTATGACTTGAGGAATACTTTCTTACAACATGAACTGGTGGTCATGATTTTTCTCAAATTGTTAGTTGACAAAGGCCTGTTCAGAAAGCGCAGACGCCTACTCGCCAAGAAACCAAAAACATCAAAAAACCAAAAACGGACCTTGTCATGTTGCTGGAACGTAGCCAAGTCGTTGAGCAACGTAGCTTGGAAATGGAGTTGTTCAACCACTTTGCTCAACCATGCGACCAACTCGGCGCGTCGCCCCGCGGGGGCGAGTCTTTCATCGCTCGTGCGGACGCCGCGGACGCGAGGAGACTCCATCGCTCGCAGCGCGCGCGTCGAGGTGCCGGTGTGACCAAGTAGACCCGGGCGCAGGGGCAGTTTTCCAAGGGTTCAAGGACCCGACCCGTTCGACTATCCCAATTGGGTACCCCAGGTGATAGGTGCTCTTTCAGGTCATTGGCTACCTCTCTTGGTTCAAATGCAGACATGTTTTTTTTCTCCGAAAGGCCTGATTCTGGTGGGTCACTGCCTCTGAACATGGGCTATTGGGCGTTGGCTAAGAACTACCACCGAGTCTACCACCCAGTCATTGAGCGCCTCTGAACACATCACGAGTTTCGAAGAAGTTTCGTGTGGATTCCATGGCACCACTTGGATTGGCCGACGATTCCGCATGGTTCGGCCATCCTTTTTCACACATCCATTCCCTGGAATCATGATGGAAGTGCAATATGGCGCCTTGAGATGACAATTTTCCTCTACAAACAGGTGATTGTCCACTTCCATGCTGATCTAAGGGAGTGCAACAAAACAGGAAACTGCAAAAACACACCACGCGGGTAGCTAAGCACTAGCTTTGGGTCAAGGTAGCTAAGCTGATGGAGAACGACATCCAATTCTGCAGAATTTGGCCCAATTCTTGACCCATGCATTCTGGATTGATGCTTGATTTGTGATGCCTATACCTACGACCCCAGGGTCATTCTGTAAAATCGGTTGTTCTTGGGAACCACCCAAAAGTAGACTCTTCAAAGAGGAAGATGGGACCTTGCAAACCGGCTACAGTACAATTCATACCCGACTCGCCCTTCATGGACCACACCACCTGAAGACGGGCCGCCTTCCCAGGCCCTGGTCAGCTCCCGCGTTTTGGCCTCGGAACGCTGCGCCGAGTCGGCCAGGCGCGGGTCACCCGCCGCGGTCACTGATGCGGGGGCGCTGTTTTTTCGTGTGTCGGAATGGCAGGAGAGGTGGAAGATTTGTAGTTGAAGCAACGAAGCTTTGTGAATATGAGTTGATCTACAAATTGGACTTAAGTTAATGAAGTGATTAGTAGCGTAATTAGTCAGTACATATCAAAACATATCAATACATTATCTTCATAATGTATATGTGTCAATTACACAAATAGGAACTTAAGCATGAATCATCGTGAATCATATGTTTTGAAGAAACCCATCAAACCAAAGATAGAGATATCATGAGATATATACCTTATTTTCGCCCGCCCAAAACCTTCAGACCCTTTCGCCCGCTCGTCAACTCACTCCTGTGGCGGCTTCGGCAAGGCAATGGCAGGAGAGCTGCTACAAGAAAGACCTGGAGTCCGAAGAAGAGGAACGCCGCTTCCCTCATGGCCAGTCCGTCCGGATGCCCATCGTGATGTGGTCTGTCCCTTCAGGGTTGTGCAGGGAATAAGAGGAGGCAGTTTGAAAACATGGACACGTTTGATGTGAAAGGCTGATTGTTTCAACTGGTTGACTAAAAAAGCACAGGTTTCGACTTCGATTAGGGTATGATTTTGATTTGTATGCTGACAGTCGTTGGAACCATTGGTTAGCAACGACGGGTTACCGCCTGGTTTTTGAAAGTGTTTTTGTGCCTGGTGGCTGGTGAGGATGGTAAGTCTTTAGCCGGGTGTGTAGTACCACACGGGACCACACGGCATCAAGCACAATATTATTATGCTAGCTCAACCCAAACGAAATGAGACCAACCCATTTTAGACTAAAGACATTGGGACATTGGCCCATTAAGGCCAAAGTTGCAAACCAGCTGTTGTGGGTATATAGATGTGATTGTTGGTTTTCAGTTTACCTTGGCTTCACCATGTCCTCGGAAACGTTGATCCTGTTAGTTAGAGGTGACCAAAACCCAAAGATTTGGAGAACCGAGCTCAACCAAGATTGATTTAAATCACACACATGTCATCCGGGCATGTCCAACACGAACCATGTCTTTTTCCGAGACAAGCAACTACTATATATACACCTACTCCCTGCCAAGGCATACCACTGCATGTACCTTAAGCACACCTTTGTACCACATGTTGCCCCGGGCAACCCCGGCAACCACCAACCACCGTCCCATCCATCGGTCCAGCCGTCGCAGCATCGCGCTTCGAGGTGATGCAGAAGGGTTTCCACGCTTTGATGGAGTTTTTGGACTTCACCAACCGGAGATATGGCAACCCCGCCAGGAGTAGAGCGCGCGCGGCGCTGCGCTGGGCTTCGTGGGCTTCGTGTCGACTTCGTGGTGTGTGCTTTGTTTGGGAGCTTTGGGGCGTTCCGGGGTGGACGGAGGACGAGTGCGCGCGGTGCGTGTGCGTGTGCGTGTGCGGGGTTTCGCGGCGAAACGCGCACATGAAGGGGATCAGGAAGTGGGGTTGGGAACTCCTGAGGTGAGGACCGGAGGGCGTCGCGTCCGGACCAGTCAGGTTTTGGTGGTCAGTTCGTTTGCCAGGCTGGGGTTAGGTGCCAAGACTGGTTGCTTTCTCATTGCTCGGGCAGAAGGAGCAAGGCAAACGCGCGGGGCATGGTTTTGTAGCGACTTCGGCGCCCTGTGTCCCAGGACGATCAGTGCTATCATTGCTGAAGTGCTGTTGCGCGACGCATCCTCAAATATCATCTATCCATGTCGTGCATATGCTTCATCTAGCATTCCAAGTGTCACGTGCTTTCTTCTACATGCCACCCATGTTGTTTGTGCGTAGTGTAACCTGCAGCATCTGGCAGCTCTGGGAGTGAGGACCTGGTTCAAACTGGATGCAGAAGCGAATATGCGCTTGGGCATGCGCCAGTTCGAACGGCGCTGCATGGTATCTTGGCGAGACGAGGGGAAGAGTCGAGTTACACGGGGCACAGGGAGAGCATGTTTGGTGAAGACTGGTCTAGTCAGGATTGTCCGAGAGTTTGCACCATAGCAAGCAGTTTAAAGCAACCAATATTTCATTGTGCGAAAAAGGGTAGCAGCGGCACCCGAAGTCCGCAAACACGAAAACAAGAGGGCGCACTGAAGCGCCGCGGCCGCGCCTTTTGCAAGGCAACTGCCCTCCCAGTCTTGAGAGGGAACGACGGTAAGTGAAGGTCGAAAACAGTTCGAACTGCCGAAACACAAGTGCACAGCGTGAACTTTACATGGGGGAGAGTCCTTCGTCATCACCCCAGTTCCGCTGTTCGAACCGGTCCAGCCATTGGTAGACCAAGGTCCGCACAGATGAGCCTGACCGATCATCGACAAGGTCAGGTGGAATCACCCTCAAACTACAAAGGCGGCAAAAATCTACTCGCCGCTGCAGGCTTTCATCTCTTCCGGCCAGGCTTGAACAGTTCAAGGTCGTGTGCCATCTGGCGCCATGCCGGCTGATGATCATGCCATTGTAGAAGGGGCATTCATTTCCATGCTCATCCATCTGCCTCAGGGCGATCTTCAGGATCTGGGAGGCTTCCTGTGCAAGGGTCTCAGCAGCATTCTGGTTTCTCAGAACCAGATTCATCGCTGTCGTGGCTTCGACAGCAGCAAGGCGGGACTCCTCGGCTTTGGAACTCCAGCGCAGGACTTCCTGCTTCAGGCGTTTGACTTCTTCTCTAAGGCGAGCTGGGATGATCGCTTCATCCCTTTGGACTGCAGCCTCAGTGACCTGGGGTGGTACTCGGTGGTGTGCATCATGGCTCCATCGACCAACCATGAAGGCTGTGCTCAAAAAAAGTAGAAGGAGGGTGCACAAAACAGTTCCAAACCAATCCATTCCAGCTTCAGGTTCCACATTGGCCGAATCGGCCGTGACCAGCTGCGGGGCCATGAACAAAAGCAAAAACCAAAACATGAAATTCGTCTTACGACCGCGGTAGGACTCGAGCGGGCGGCTTCCGACATGGCTCGGACTGTCGGAGACATACTCAAGCTTCCGGTCGGTCCTGGCAAACATGACATTCACAGGAACCTTGGAATTCCGAAAAATCTCTTCATTCCAAAACACCTGCTCATCGACATTCACGTCATTCTCCGCAGGATTCTCGTCGATGGACTGCTGGTGCTCCTCGTGGAGGTTGGGTTCCTCATTGATCACATGTGGTGGTACCACATGGATGCTTTCAGGTTCCTCATTGATCACATGTGGTGGTACCACATGGATGCTTTCAGCAAGACTCTGTTGGAGCTCAGCTTTTGTCTTCTTCTTGGCAGCTTTGTATGAGGGGTCCCAAACAAGCTTCAAACGACCGTGACGTAGCCGTTGTGCAAGAAGTGCTCTGGCCGACTCTTTTGTCAAACCGTCAGCCAGTTGGCGCTCCGATGACATCCACCTCAAAGAACCGCCCAGTGAAGACAGGCGATCCTTCATCACACGGATCTCAAGCGAAACTCGCTTGTCAACCACAGAGCTTCCGACTCCTTCTCGGTGATAGGAGTCGTAAAGGGCTTTGGCGTCCGTGATCATGGTGGGCGACAACAAGGATGGAGCGTCCAAGAGCTCTTGGAGTCGCTGGCGAGGGTCAACCAACAAGCTCCAGTAGATGCTGGCATGCTCCAAGGCATCGCAAGCTTGACCACCGCTTTGTGCTTCGGCGCCCAAGGAAGAGCGTGCAACTCTTGGCGTTTTCAAACTGCGCCAATCCAACACGTGGTAGGCTCCTTCGGGACCATTGGCCTGAAGCAAAGCTTCTTTGACCATCAGGATCACATAGCCAGCTTGTGAGGCTCCGTCACTGCGGGTGGCAAAGGCAGCATCAAAAAAACATACCAAACAAAGTTCTGAAACTTCGCCCAGGTGGCTGTACTGTAGGCCAACATCAGCATTTTCTTTTGCAAAACGCAGCAGGCGATTTGTGTCGGCCACTGTCTGAAGCGTGGCCTTGGTGACATGACCGCTCAGGATCGAGGTGCTGCTCTGCAAGTGAGGACTGCTTTGAACTGCCGGCCATTGAAGTGAACCAAGAAGTCCTCTCAGCTGTGTCAACTCACGCTGATTGAGCGCATCGGTGAGGCTGCGCTTCTTGTCGTAGGTGATCGGTTTCACCTTTCCCATGTAGCTGGTCTGGTTGAGGAGGAGACCATCATCCTTGACTTGAATGTCACAACCACAATAGGTCAAGGGCTTTCCATCATCACCAGTTTTCCATTCACGGAAGTTGAAGGTGCTCTTCAGCTTGGTGATGGTGTCGTTGTAGCACTGGGAGGATGGCGAACCGCAACCAAGCATGTCATCGACGTGCATGATGACCATACCACATAGGCCATGAGGTCCAAGCAGGTTGGAGTGCTTAGCTGTGGTGTCATACTCAGGGTTGAGGTCACCTTCATAGATCAAGAAGCAGCAAGGGTCTTGAGGATGCTGTCGGAGGCCCATAGCGCTCAGCTTATCAACTGCAGCCATGAACCAAGATCTCGGGGCATCGATCTGGCCGTAGCAGGGCTTGAGAAGCAACATACGGGTGTCAGCTGTAGCTCCAAGCAACTGCAAACACTCTTGAGGAAGCTGCACCCACAACTTGCGTGTCTGAGGTCGACCCTGCAGGAAGGCGGTTGCTATGTCTGAAGTCCAGATTGGCCACTGCATGGTGGAGGCCAAACTCAACAACATGGATCTCGACAGCCTCGTGGTTGTGGGCGATGAGGTTGGAACAGTTCCTTCCCAAGCGTCTGGGTCCATGAAGCCTCTGACAATGAGCCTGGCTTTGGCACGGGGGCTGCCATCAGGATTCTTTGACCACTTCAGCAGCATGCGACTGGTCAGCGTCCGACTGGGCTCAGCTTCTCTGGTGGTCTCGAACTGCCAGACGTGGTTGTCAAAGAAGGATTGCAACTCTTTGACCTTTGCAGCTTTGAAGGCTGCTCGCTCATCAGGAGTCATGTGGCGCTCCGAGAGGTTGTTCTTGTTCTTGTCTTTCTTGAAGCTTTTGGCGTGCCGGAGTTTGGTCTCCTTGCCAAGCTGTCGTGCTCCTTGAAGTGGGGCCTTAGCGAACATGGCCATCTCTCGACGAAGGTCGCCTTTGATCTGGAAGATCGTGACTCCAGTCCATGAGCGATCCAAGGGAGTGGAAGCCGTGTAGCCATCGTCGGTCTGTTGGATGCTTTTGCCGTTGTTGTCATACATAACGGTCACCCGAACCAGGTCAAGCTGATCTGTGGTGAAGGGGCTGTCTTTTGGCAATTGGTGCAGGCACATCTTGGATCGTCGAGGGATCACATGGTGTCTGATCAAACATCCGGCTTTGACTTCCCAGAAGTCGCGGTCTCTCTTGTCGAGCTGGAAGTAGCCATTCTCATAGGTCCAACCTTTTGGCAGGCAGTTGGCTTCAATGCCGGAGACTTGGAAGGCATGATTCAGCAAGGCGTGATCAGGTGCCTTCTGACTTGCATAGAGAGCAGGATCATCCGAAGCAGCTGGAGCTGCCGATACTTGGGCTGGCGCTTCTGCGGCTGCCGCTGTTGCTTGTGTGTTGTGCTCTGCACTGTTGTGTTCTGCTTCTGGTGTTGTTGTTTGTGACGTCGTGTTGTATGGCTGTGGTGACCCAATGCGCTGTCTTCGCAGGGGGCCAAAACTAAGTGTCTCCTGTCTGTTGAAGCGAACTCGTCGTTGTTGAAAGGTTTCAGCATCGACTGGTTCATACAATGCTGCAGTGTCAGGGTCCAGTGAAGGCCCTGACATTGATGCTTGAGGTGCTGTTGCAATGGCCTGTGGTGATGTAGCATGTGGTGTGGGTGCTGCAGATGGTATGGTTGGCTCTTCGCTGGGTTCGACCACAGTAGGAGCCCGTGAGCGGGACCTAGTGGTGGCTGGTGAACCTGGTACAGTGATCTCGGCTGGGGCCATGGGCAGCAACATGTTTGGTTCTGCCATCACTGGTGTTGGTGGTGCTCTGGGAGACGTCGGTGCAAAGCTGGAATGAGCAGGTGAGGTAGGCTCATATTCATCATCGGGCACGATGATCTGTGGTGGTGCTTCTGCAGTCGGCACGGGTGGCTCCAGGCGAAAGCGATGCCTGGGAGGCTCATCATCATCTTCTTCCAGCAGAGGACCATCAGGGTCAGTGTGTTGTTCATCTTCCTCGACATCATCCAGCTGTTGGCGGTTCACCCGTCTCAAGTCGTAGAATCTAGTGACTCCACGGGATTTCAGCTGTCTCACTTTGTTGAGGGCTGATTGCAGGTCTTCGAGCACGTGCTGAGGTCCGAGGATGTCTGCACGGACATGGTGAGGCGCAGCACGAATCAACTGTGTTTTGTAGGCGAGCCAGTAGGTCTTGACCTTTGGAGCTGCAGTATCAGCTTCAGCATCTTCTTCACGAAGAACCACGTGGGCAGGACCAAGCCATCTGATCTTGTTCAGGGCTCCTTGGCGAGCATCACGCCAAAACCATACTCTTTCTCCCAACTGGAAAACTCGATTCTGGCCCTGGTACTTGCGACTGAGAGCTCGTCGCAGCTTGGAGTCAGCATCAGCAGATGCCAGTGCCATCTTTGCAGCAGTTCGCCGCTCAAGGTTCTCCTCAAATGAGCTGTTGTTGCCAGCAAGTTGAGCTGCATTGAGGTTGGAGTCCATGAGGTGGGACAGCTCAGGTTGGAAGCCAAGAACCCATTGACTGGGCGAGAAGCCAGCAACTGCAGGTGTGGCGTTCTGCTGTGGGATCACATAGCAAAGTGCTTCCTTGATGCCAGCAGCGTCGTTGAGCTTGCGGTCATCCATGTAGACCTCACAGGCACGGCGCAGCACTGCATGACGGCGCTCAACCAACGAAAGGCGCTCATGAGCTTCTCCTGGTGCTACTTGATGGTCAATGCCAAGTGAGCTTGTCCAAGATTCAAACGGTGCACCAAGCCAAGGTCGGCCTTCATCGGAGATCAGCTTCTTGGGAGGGCCAAAATGGCGAACCCACATCTTTTCCAGAGCGGTGATGTAGGACTTGGAGGTCTCCTCATGAAGCAGGTAGGCTGCCATGAACTTGGTGCCAACATCAACTATGCTCAGCACTGCAAACTTGCGGTCTGCTGGCTTGAGGTAGAAAACGTCAGCCTGAATCACTTCGTTGAAGGTCTTGGGCTGTGGCATGGATGATGGAGCAACCTGGTTGGGCTTCTTGTGCCTCAGACATGCCACACACTTGTACTCCTTGGCAGCGGCGATCACAGTGGGATGAGCTCCTCTGGCGGTCAACAGATCAGCCAGAGCATCAGGTGCCGGATGGCCAAGGTTTCGGTGTAGCCGTTGCACCGTTCGAAGAGCATCTTGTCGGTGTTCAGACTTGAGCTTGAGGAGGTGTCCGGTCTCTTTCTTGCCAGTTTCATCGACCACATAGGCGGTGTCCCACAGTTGAGCGGTCTCAGGACGAGCCAAGGCAGCAGCCAGTGTCGCTGCAAAGCCAGGTTGGTAGTCTTCCAAGTAGGTGGTCCGGCGGCCATAGCCAGGAGCAGAACCTTCCAAGGGGCAGTGGTAGTGGTCATGGTCACACTTCAGCTGGAAGGCCTCTAAAACAGCCTGCTTTGTGGTCAACAGGCGAGTGCTCTTTTGGACAGGTCGCCAGATGCCGTCGGTGTCCATGCACATTGCTCCATAGCGGCATTGGTCGAAGTCGGCATAGTAACCAGGAAGATCTCGGAGAGCCATCGTGTTCCAGCTCAAGGCATGTCGGGGCTGCTCCAAGTGGGCATGCCGTGCATTGGTCACCTGTCGTAGGTAGATGCGCTTGGCAAAGCAGAGATGGCGACGATGGTGGTGCTCACGTCGAGCCTTCAAGGCTTCTTGCTGTGCAGGGGTGCGACAAGCCAAGGTTTGCATTCTTGACCACAGGCGGCATTCTGGTGCCACCAGCACTTCATCAGGTTCTTCTTCATCAAGTCGTTGGAGTAGCTGTTGTTGATGGCTGATGAGGTTGAAATCCCAGCCATTGTCCAAAGAAAATCTTTCCACCTTCATGCCAAGCTCCTCTGCGATGTGGCCAGTGCGAGCTTTGCCACAATAGATTTCCCAGAGAACTCGTCGATGGTCGGGAGGATTGTGAAGCTCCTGAGTGATATAGGCTTCGGTGGAGTTTGAGGTAGTGACCAACTGAGTCTCCATGGTTCGAAGGGCATGTCGATGAAGGCGAGTGGATTGCAATTCGCCACCTGCTAGAGCCACATCTTCAGCCTGAAACACATGTTCGAGCTTGTTAAAGTCCTCGAAGTGGAGATGGCTGCCAGGTGTTTCCTCAGCAATGCGAAGGCTGAATAGGGTTTTCGTGGGATCAGGTACTTCCTCCATGCCAGTGGTGAGGCTCAACAAGTACTCGCCATGGCGGCCCACAAGCACTGAGGTCCAAGGCGATTGCCCAAAGCGAATGCGCTTCTGGCTGAAGTCGATGCCCATGTGCAGAGCCTCAATCACAGGTCGGCCCATCAACATTGGCGTGTTGCCAGGAACCAGGTAGCATTGGATCGTGCCGAACTGGCCATCGATCATCACCGGGAGATCCACTGTCCATGAAGCTCGTGAGGATGCATCGCCACCAAAATGGAACTGGCGGTAACATCGAGCAAAGCGGATGGTGTTGATGGGGTAGTTCATGGAGTGCAAGTGGCTCAAATAGCGGCCGAATGGACCATATCCGCACAGGAAGGCAGATGCACCTGGGTCAAGCATGGTGGCATCCGGTCGGTCGGTGCCCATCTCATCCTGGAACAGGACCAAGGCGGTCTCATTCTGCAAGGCCATACCCTCAGTGGGTGCAGGTCTCTTGTTGGACGATGAGGGTGATTTCGCACCTTGTGGACATTGCGCTGCCCAATGACCTGGTTGGCCACAACGAAGGCATGTAGTTGCCTTTGCACGACCTTTTGGATCAGCCTTTCCACCTGAGGAGGGTGGATAGCGCACCACATTCTTTCCTTTTCCTTTGCTTTTGCTCTTGCCCTTTCCTTTGTTCTTGCCGGCGCCCTTCGAAGGTGAAGAGGATCCAGAGGCGGGCGAAGCGTTCTGGCCATCAGTGAGGGCGACGATCGGCAGGTAGCCACGAGCCAACTTGAGCTGCTGGAATCTTTGCCGGGCATCCAAGTAGGTGGCATAGGCGTGGTCATACTCTTCGGCCAACTCTTGAGGATCTTCGGACAGGTCATGGTGTTCTCCAGGTTCATCCTCTTCGCCGTAGTAGATGGCGTCATAGTCAAAGTCAGCCTCATCGTCAGGGGCAGTGTCATCATACCAGTCGTCGGCCTCATAGTAGGCGTCTTCTGTCCAGGGTTGCTCGGACCAGTAGGCATCTTCTTCATCGAATGCGGCGTAGCCGCGGCCCTTCCAGCGGTTGAACTTTCGATCACGTTCAGCATTCCAGCCGCCTGCTTTGTAGTCCTGACCGAACAGCAGGTACAGGGCTTCGATGACAGGATTCTTTTCCAACGTAGGAGCCTTCAGCGTCACCATTTGGCGTTGCTCCTTTGACAAAGCAGCACGTCGGAGTAGATGCCATCCTTGAACCTGGACTGGAAGAGTCACATTGTGGGCAGTCAAACGACGATAGGCGGTGTCATGGTCGGTGACGAAGGACAGGAGGCTTTGCTGTGGCTTCCTTTGCAACAAGTTGAAGTACTCCTCAAAGTCATTCGGAAGGAGCACACGATCGTCATACTCGAAGTTCTTGTCGAGCTTGGTGATGATCTTGCTGAAGCCATCCTCTTTCTCAGCCTCTTCAACTGAGAAGTCCTCGAACAACCGCCACGTCACACCCTGAAAACTTCCCAGGATGTTCAGGACGGACTCGGCTGAGCGCTTGCTGATCTTCATCTTGTGGTGGTAGAGCATCAGCCTCTTTCTGTACTCTTTGTAGTCCTGGGGTTGTCCACTGAACAGTGGAACGAAGGAGTCGCGCAGGTTGAGGTAGTCACCATCCTTGGAACCTTCTGCAGCCGATGTCGTTGGTGGCATTCTCAAACAAGTAGCCAAGACCGAAAGGGCTCTTCAACGAGGAAACAAAAGAGCTCGGCCAAGGGTTCGTGACAAAGGACTTATGCAGAACCTCGTTCTTCTTCGCGCAAAGGACTCGGAGCCCCCCGGAGGAGGCTCCGCTACCAATGCGAAAAAGGGTAGCAGCGGCACCCGAAGTCCGCAAACACGAAAACAAGAGGGCACACTGAAGCGCCGCGGCCGCGCCTTTTGCAAGGCAACTGCCCTCCCAGTCTTGAGAGGGAACGACGGTAAGTGAAGGTCGAAAACAGTTCGAACTGCCGAAACACAAGTGCACAGCGTGAACTTTACACATTGACAAATGAGTACCATATGCCACTCATGGCTGTGTTTTCTTTTTCTGGCTGTTTGTAGGAGAAGTTGGCCCCTTGATCTCCCGATCTCCCCGTCACGAACCTTCATTCCGATCGCTTGGCCGTCGGCACCCGGAACGGCACCCGGAACGGGTCGTTTCTTGAGACCCTCCACCGGGTCTTTCGTAGGGGTTTCCAAAGATGTCGGTCGGTCGGTCGATCTACCGCGTCGACCGGAATCGCTCAGGACATTGGTTTCCGTGGGAATATCCCAGCACTATGGCCCCTGGGCAGAGTCCATCGGTCGGGCCGAGCGGCGCGCCACGCGCCACGCGCGCGAGGAACACACCGAAAGAGCACGGTGTGAAGACGCAGAGCGGTTTTTTTGGGGGGGGGCGGGATACGGAAGCGTCGGGAGGTGGCTGCAGCATCAGCCTGTACAGTAGACCTGGATGTTCCAACTATGCCAAAATTTCTGCACCCAGCTGAAGAGGTCTGGTGAGTTGCTCGGGTGGTGGGGCACGAACTTCACGGGCTCACCCGGTTTCCGGCGGTAGACCGACCACTTTTGGTGGTAAGATGGCTGTGAAACGAGTTCTTGGATGAACAAGAACCCATTCGGTGGCCAAATCGATCCAACAGAAGACCGGAGAGAAAGAGCAGAAAGAACCCGCGAAAAACTCAATGTCAACAGCCCTTCCCGGGCCCTTCCCTGACTGTTTGCACCTTGGCCAATATCATTTGGAAGGAGTTCACCAAATAGACCAAGCAATTGGTGCAGACTTGCTGCCGACCTGCCGACCTGGTCGACCGAAGCCTTCCGCCCTGCCCAGGAAGTACATGGATAAGCGAAACACCGGTGTGGCCCCTTGGGCAGCAACCGGCCGGTGGAATCTGGCTAATCAGACCCAAGCACCAGGTGTTTACATCGCGCTTGGGGGGGTTGACTTGAACCACTCATTTCACTGGACTTTAGAGTACAATACTGTCGTATATTCAGAGGAATACTGTAAGAGGAACCTTGGAGGATGCGCAAACCGGACACAAATCCTACAAAGCCTGAAAAGACCATCGATGAGTGGAGCCGAAAAAGAACATCACATGCTTCATGTGGTCGACACGGCATCCCAGGTGAGTTTGCTGGAGCTTCATACCGTCACGGCGATGGAACTGGCACGCTTCAAGCTGCTGATCCGTGAACGCTTCAGGCTTCTGCCGGCCGCGTGTGCTTCGCGGCGCTCTTTTTGTGGGGTGCCGAAGATTCCGAAGGTGCTGAAGGTGAGAGGTGGGTGTTGTTGTTTTGGACACTGGATTGTTTGCATGTTTGTTTGGGTGGGAGGTGGGTGGTGGACGACCACTAGATTCAGAGATATTCAGAGTACATGGACCATATTTGACCGAAATGATGGGAAATTGGCTGTGCTTGAACGGTTTGGATGCAAGCAAAATTAGTAGATTCTCCATCCCAACTACCATTTCAGACCATATAGGTATCCATGTTCCAATTCGTGCTGTTTTGACCTGTGACGTCACGGCTTGTGCTTTTGGACTTTTTTCGACGAAGTCACTCCAAAGTCAGTCAGACAAACTCACCAACTCACCGACATCAACCCACCAAACCCAGTGATAGTCAGACAAAAAGAGCCGCTTTGGATCACCTTCCAACCTCACCCTTTACCCCGTTGAAGTGGCATGCTGCATGGCCCCCCCAACAAGGAACCCATCTCCTCCCACCGCGGAGTCGCCCAGAAAGGACGCCATGCGCGGCGCCCTCGTGGCGCCATCGCCTCCAGCCTTCGCCAGGGACAGCGCCACGGAGATGTTCCGCTTCCTGGACGACAACCGCAGCGGCCGTGTGAACCGGGTGACCTTCTCAGCCCGGCTGCAGACGCTGCACTACGCAGGTGGAGTGCGTGGTCGGTGCGGTCTGCAGTTGGAGCGATGGGGATCGGACCGGTGGTGAGCCGGACGAGACCTGGGGGACTTTGGCTGGAGTGGGGAGATCCATGTGATGGATTCTATGGGGAGGCGATTGGAGGCGGTTTGGAGGGATGCCCGCTTCACCAGCTCTTCACAGGTTGCGAAAACAGGCACCCCAAAGGACTGGATGTCATTGGAAGTGTTTGTCCGCGAGCAAATGGACATATGGAGGGAGGGAGGATTGCACCTGAGCACACCTCGCTTCATGATTGGAGTCAGTATGCTGATTCTTCCAGAGCAACATGATTCTGACCTGCGAACAATGGGGCTTGGCGGGGCTCGGAACAGCGCAACAGTTGTGGGGTATGATGGGTATACAAATAGATACAGTACAAATAGTGTAATCTTGCATGTGACGTAATACAAATGCAACAAGATTGGCCCGGGATCCCTTTGTCATTTGCTGTGGCCAGTAGCGTCTCCAGCATGACTCTGCTCAGCAACCAGCGCAGCGTAAGAGCTTGGCGTGACCGACAGGTAAGTCTGCCAAGCTCTTTGAGTATTTGGATCGACAAGGCCTGAAGTGGACACCCTCGGGGCGTGGTGGACCGCGGGTCAGCGAGAAGAGCCAAACAGCCGAAGCGGCAAACCTGAAGTTTGAGATGGCTGCGGGTCCAAAACCGAAACTGAAATCCCTGATAGGTTGACCTCCGCTAGTCGAGTCTAGTATGTCTAGTCTGTTCATTTTCTCTGGGAACAACCGGTCGGTTCGCCGGTGCCAAAACCGTCAGATAGTGCGTGTGGTGTGTGGTGCCCTGGGTCAAAACAAGCCTGCCCCTCGTCTCACCAGACTCTTCCTCTTGTGGGCAGATCTTGGTAGCTCCTTTGAGCCAGTATACCCTCTCCTAGGTGATGGTTTCGATATTTTTATGTTCAATCCTTACCTGGGGATCAATCATCCGGGCGCTGCGGAAGGCATATGCCTGGATTGTGCATCGTGATGACGCGATTCGGTGAGCTCCCGAGGAAAGAAAGTGCAAGACCTTTGCACCAATCACTTCGCAACGAAAGTGCGGTCGACTTGATGCTTCAATTTGAAGTGTGTGATCTTTTGACCTTACCGGAGTCTTTTCGACCCTCCGAATTTCAAGTGGCAGGAGCACTCGTTGAACTATCCATGATGGGCGTGCTTGATCGCACTGGCATTGTGATGCCACGCTTCCGAGAACTTGAAAGGGCAATGGAGGAGGCCGTCTGAATCTCGCAATGAGAGAGCTGTGCAACGAGATGATGCAGCATCTCTTGAGATTGACAGCGGCTTCGACCCAGAGGAGGTTCTGCCACAGGAGCATTTTCCTGACGAACAGATCTCGGGCGGCAGACTCGTCGATGTTCTGAGGACCAAGACTGACATTCTTGCCGCAGGTCTCAGAATGGGCGAACGCTTAACCCAACTTATCGCCGACACAGCTTCGCGGGAGTACAACGGCGGAAGCAGGCTAGAAACAGTCCTGTCCATCTACTGGGGTGCGTCGGCAGTTTTTTTTGATGGCAACGATCGCGGTAACAGTCAAATTGGAGCATGTGGCCTAACCCATGAGACTCGCACTATCCGGCTCAAACCCAGACCCGTCGAAAGAGGATGGTACTTGCCGCTCTCTGTATCGTTCAGAGATGGAGTATAGGGCTCAAAGAAATCTGTGTAGGCTCGCTTTTTGCCCCAGTGCGGAAACCGCACGACCGTTTTTGTCGCCATAGCACGCTGGCCGCCTAGCCCTGCTTGGCATAGGCGTGAAAGAGGAAAGCGACAAGCTGCTAGGAATCTGATCAGGAGGATTCAGATTCGTGGGTTGGTGGATCGCCAAGCTGCACGAGCTGGGAAAGCTCTTTGGTTGCTGGAACAACACCACTCAAAGCCTAAATACAAGCTGGACTTCCAACTACGTGAAAGGCTGGAAAGTTCCTCAAGTATGCCATGGAAGAAACAATACGAGAGTTGGCAGGAGCCGACATACCCAGCACAGTACTGGGGAAGCTGGCAGAAATCACCCAAGCCGCAAAGGGCCAAGAAGGAGAAAGAAGATCGCTCCAAGCCCTTCCTCTACGGACACGACGGAAAGCGCGTAGAGATACAGGACGGTTCCTTTTCCAAGTCATTCTCCTCCTCATCACACACTGGGCCACCAGAGGATGCTGCGAAAGAAGAGAACAAATTGCTCAAGGACACTATTCGCAAGTTGCTCGACCAGAAGGGCCCAACGCCGGAAGATCTGTTGGATCTGGAAAAGATCCTTGCCAAAGATCCAAGAGAGGAGTTGAGAGAGAGACAACGCCACTTAAACCAGGACAGACGAGCACTCAACAAGTCCTCCAGGGTGAAGGTTACAATGGACGAATCAGAAAAGAGCTTCAATTCCTGGAAACACGTGATCGAAGCGGGACTCGTTCAAGAAGAGAGAAGGCATTTAGCAGAAATGGCAGAGCTTCGAATGGAGCTGAAGGTGGCGGAGAAAGGGGAGAATGCCATGGACGATGCATGGAGGGTGGAGACGACCCTCAGAGTACGCCTCAGCTCCTCCAGGAACTACAAGCTATGAAGAGCCAGTTCAACGATTTTGTGAACGTTACGCAGCAGGTATGGAGAAGCGGAATGCCCAGCTGGTAGAACAGGTTGCTTTATTGACCCAGACTCTGCATGGGAAGGATATTCGAGAGGAAGCGAATTCTTTTTCGCCACAATATCCTATGCGCAGGCCCATGCCCTTATCCAAGGAGGATTTACCAGCAGACGCTCCTCGGGATGTCGACAGCCGTTCTCGATCCCCTGCAAGGATGGAAGGAGTGAAGCCGATCGAGCTTCCTTCAACTTCTGTCGAGCAGAAACTAGAACCCGATGGTGCTTTGAGCGGACTCTCGGATTCAGCTCGATCGAGTGTTATCCAGCAGATCAATGCCAATCCGCAGGGGTTTTCTTCCATGGAGGCGGTTTATCCTCTGATAGAGTGAAAGCTACGGAAGGGGCCTTTTCCAGTGCTTCGACAGCTCGTTATACCATCGACATGAACAGCAAAGCTATGAGGCCGTGGGGTGCCATGAACAAGAGAAAGGAGCACGATCGGGGGACTCCATATGGGGATTCACCCCTCAAAAAGCAGAGTGCGATTGCGTTGAGCCCATCCACTGGAGAGCGGCATGCTTCACCAGGCCTCCATGGTATGAGCTGAATCCCTATGACAGAGACCTTCTGGATGAGCATGGATGAGCAGTTTCGGTGCGCCATTTTTCAAGGCTGCAGGAATTCTGGAACATCCTTTGTCTCTACGTGGATGGTTATGACCTTTGATTTCAAGAGTGTAGAACAATATGCTCAAGATAGCTCTTTTTTGCATTTGGACCGGATTCTGAAGGAATCCCAGTCATGAGGATGCAAATGAGCTTGGACTTGTTCTCTTTGAGAACGATACAGTTGCTGGAGATCTGATACTTGATGGACGGTCATGCTGTGGAAGCACCTCCGTCCCTTTTCCAAAGCAAGTTTTCTTCGTCTCCTTGCGCCAACATCTTTTCCTAGTTTGGTCGTTAGCCTTGGTGAGGATCCTTTTTGGCCTCAAGTTGGAGAACTTTAGGTTCCGACACAGACCGAATGCTTTTCGACTGCAATTCGTCTCTTTATGTTCCTTATGGCAGAGTGTTCGAGCAGTGATCGCATGTGGGGTTGTCACTCTCGTTGAGCTGCCTCTATTGGAGGGTTCTTTTGATCTGTACAGCGGTGCGCATATCCTGCTCAAAGGGTCATTGGCCTTCCTGATGCTTCTGCTTTTGCTAGGAGGTCTCATTTCAGTTTGCCTTGTGCTTCATCTTTTTCTTACTTTTATATAATGGTATTTTTGTATTTTTTTTTTGCTGCTTTTGACTGTTTTCATGGGAAGTGAAAGAGCTGCAAAAACGAGAATAGAAAATAACTTTCAAACATTTTTGTGGTGACTGAACCGCAAAAACACTAAAAGGCAAAGATGCACGCCATCATTATGTTTCATCAGTTCCTCCTCCCAAATGGTTTGATTCCTGTGATCACATTTTCCCCTTCAGGTGTGCGTACTATCTTGGTCTTGTTGAAAATCTTTCACTTACACATACATGGGGTTGAAAATAAAATTCAATAGCTTCCACGAGAAAGCTCACATGAGAAAACGAGACTTGAAAATAGCGCAGGGCTAGTCATTTTGCACTTGCACTGCTCCCTCATTCACGCACGCACAGGCTGCCGCCAGTGGCCGGAGCAGCCACATGGCGACAGTCTGTGGGAAACCTAGTTTAATTAGCATTGCTTGCCACACTTTAATTTAAAGCGCCCAGTCTTCAGATTGCAAGTGATTGCGCACCCAGCTGCGACCTGCCTCTAATAAGCTCCATGAGAATGTGTGTAGCAAGTCTGTGGGCCTGTGGCCATTGGCTTTTGCTCAAGCATTTGTATTTTTGCAAGAGCTTCCAAGGGTGGTAAGACTTGAGCAGTTTCTGTTGAACCAAATGAGCTGTTTCGCCACCACCCTTTCCATTATTGCCATCATCATGGAAAAACTGCGCATTTTGACGTCGCAGCATTGCAATGTGAAATTCAACTAAAAGTCACGTTTTGAAGGACGCTTTCCCTTGGGCCAAAACATTCAATTATCCTTTACTTGCAACTTGTGAACTTAAGCATACATGACTGACCTCAATTATATCAACCCAGACCCAGACACCGAATTTTTCCGCACCAGCAAATTTCGAAAAACGCTGGCCGAAGCAGCCAGCAGACGGTGTTGGCCCTGGCCGAAGCAGCCAAAGGCCACTCACCCCTCGTCCAAAGGATCCCAAACATCCTCCTCGATTGCCTCTTCCTCCTCTTCATTGTCGTCGTCATCTGCCTGCTCTGCCTCGAGACGCGGCTTTTTCGACTTGGGCTCTGACTTTGCCTCCGCCTTTGGTTTTCCCTTAGGCTTGGGAGCTGGCTTTGGCTTGGGAGCCGACTTTACCTTTGGCTTGGGGCGTGGCTTGGGCTTCGGGATCGCTGGCTGCGATGAAGAAGTCGTTGACCCCACAGCTTGCGCATAGGTACTGTTGAACAATGGCGAGGCAGTCTCCTTCATGCTCACCTTCATTAGGTCCAGGAGCCGTTCTTCCATCAGCTTGACATGTGTGTCAATGTAGCAGATGCCCATGTACGCAGTCCTAGTCTTGACGCATGCCCACGCCAACTTTCCATCAGCTGGGCTCAAGTCCAGCACCAGCTTGGCGTAGAAGGTGTGCAGGAGCTCCTCCATCAGCTCAAGCGGCGGCGAGAAGTAGCAAACAGGCTCGGGCAAATCTTTGGTTCGGTCGTTGATTTTTGGCTCATCCTCTCCACCTTCTGTGCGCCCGCCCACCGCGATCAAGTGGCGCTTGCCATACAGATCCTTTTTCTCCGACCACTTCATGCTCCATTCATCAGTGAGCTTAGGAAGGGCCACGCCCTGAATGAGGTCACCTGTTGAGCTGCCAACATAATGGAGTCTTGGCCGCTGTGGAGTAGCTTAGCCGAAGCAGCTAAAGCTTTCAAACTTGCTTCACTTGAGTGAAAAACGGCTGCAAACGAGCAATTTGAAGTCTGAGAAGAGAGGGCAAATCGCCCTCTTCTTTCGAGGTTCAAGAACGTTCCCGAGCCTCGGGTGGAGAGGGCAGTGAGGGGACAACTATGGGCAAAACTATATTATATAGTGGTATTTTTGTTTCGCCCTCTCAAAACCCTCTCCTTTCGAGGTTCAAGAACGTTCCCGAAGCTCGGGTGGAGAGGTCAAACCGCCCTCTCCTTTCAAGCACTGTCGTCGATTTTTTCACCTTCGAGCTGAGAAGTCAGCTCGTGCCTTGCCCGCTTCCAAATTTCTAAGGTTTTTTAATTAGTAAGCCCCGGCCGAAGCAGCCAGTGACTTAACCTCAAGCCTACAACAAACCCTGCAACCTTGGCCGAAGCAGCCAATGGAAGTAACGGCTGCTGCGACGAAGTTAGACCAGCCTGCTCTTTTTGGAAGGGCGTGCTGCAGCCGTAGGCCACACGATCCCACTTTTGAAGCTGCCAGTCTTCAAATAAAGGGAGTCAGGTGCGATCTGCACTGCAAAGGCAAAATCCCCAAACCAAGTCTCCAACATAGTGTCCCAGTCGAAGCGGTCGTGAGTCGCCCGACTTTGTGACAATGCTGCCATCACTTCAGTAGCGTGCCAAAAGTCATTTTTGACGTAGTTATTCAATGCCAGTGTCTTGCCTGGCGCACGCGCAGGAAGAGCAGTCATGATTCTGTGCTTTGGTCGCGAGTGAAGGTCGGACAACGCGATTGTGGTGCAAATATCCAAAGCAAAAACAATGTCTTCGAACGCATCCGCTGCTTCTTCAGGCAATTGTTGCCAAGTCCAGAGTAGTGCATTTCTTGTGCGTTCCACCCGGTCAAGGACTTGGAACAAAGGAAAAGCCAGAAGCAACCTCTGACGGCTCCATGGTTGCAAAGTGCAGAAACTGAGTTTCTTCGAGTGAACTTTTCTCAGCGCGACCTGTCACAGGCATGAGCGCTGCAAAGGAGCTAGCCATTGACCTCTTTTAAGTGTTAACTACTTAGCCTCAAATTTGAGCCCCAAGCTGAAAGCAAACACTATACCGAGCTGGACATGGATGACGACTTGACTGAAGTTAGGAAAACCAGGGCTTTGGTGCAAAACTTGGTCCCCATAGCTGACCTTAGTTGACTCACTGCTAAAAAAGCTTCTGGCCGCATCAGCCAGGAAGCTGACCTTAGTCGACTCACTGCCAAAATAGCTTCTGGCCGCATCAGCCAGGAAGCCAAGCAGCCAAGCGTAGTACCACCCATTGAGAGTTTGCGAGCCTTGGTACGCGCATGCTTTTTAAAGTTCTCATGCTGCAGGGAGCCTGCCTCTCTGACAGCATACATAGCGAACTTACTGCTGCATTTGCTGAAGCTGCATGCTTTGCAACCAATGCCCCACGGTTGCTCTTGGTCTGACAGCCATGACCCACCTTCAGGATCATGTGGGCTCAAAACAGAAACTCATGAGTCCACTTGTCGCATAAGCGCTTCCATTTCTTGTACGCAGAATCCTTCTCACATAGCGTCATGACAAGTGCACAGGCCTTGGCCGAAGCAGCCAAAGGCCTGGGCACCTGGGACGACGCACCCTGAAGTTACACTAGGTGAGATTAATGGCCCAAAGGAGCAACGAGCAAGCCAAATATCTTCACAAATGTGAAAAATATTTTTCTTGTGCGTAGACGAGGAATGTGGAAGGCTCAAACGAGTTTGAGGTGCTCATTGAAAAGTTAGAGCTTTGAAACAGCAACCACATTCCAAAAACGGTGCAGTGAATGATAGATTATTAATATCTAGCGTGTGTTACTTGTTTTGCCTCTGTGCGCTGCTGCTTAGGTGAAGCATGACATGAACACATTTCTTCAAAGGTAAACGAGAATTGAAAATTGATTTTGCATCCAAATTGACTTTTTAGTTTTGAGGGAAAAACGACCAAAAAAAAATACAAAAATACCACTATATAAAAGCAAGTTTTTGCTTGTCGCAAAGGGACCCCCCGAAGGGTAGGAGGCTCCAGAATGAGTCATCAGAGGCAAAGACGACCCACTGGCCGAATCAGAGTGTGTCTGCTTTTGTTCAACATACTCTCGTCACACGTTGTTGGAGTCCATGCTAGATGTCTTGAGGGGCATGCCTATGAGGATGATCACCGACCTCCTCAGGATTTGACGTCTCGCCAGGACTTCCATGAAGACTCAGTCCTTGAGACTGGACTGACAGAACAGCTCTCTTCTGAGGCCTACCAGAGCCTGAGAGCTTTAGGAGATGGGGACTTCTCTTGGCCTTGCGGAAGCCCGTCTCAACAACTACCTTCAGAAGATTGGGGCATAGAAGGCTTCTTCCGGGGAAGGTTTGATCTGATGCAGTTTTGTTGGACCGTTGATGCCACAAGTGCGGTTCATTTCAGCCAGTTTTGTCAGAAGAGCTACCTTTCCTGCGCACAGGCTTTCAACCGGCCATGTGCTGTGCATTGCACGATGCCACTTTTTGTTACTCGCTCTAACACATGGATTGTCGAGTTTGATAGTGGTGACTTCATTCAGTTTCAAGTTCTCGGATCTAAAGAGCAGGTTCCCTTGCCAATTCACGGATGGTGTAGAACTGCTCAAGAAGGAGAAAGAAATACAGACCCACTCACTAGATTTTCACAGTCTCATGCAGGTCGGTCCTCCTCAAGATGACATGACAGCTTCTTATATTCGATCAGTATCAAGAAACTATGTGAATACTGATCTACGAGTGTGGTTCCATGCAGCTGATGCACTCGGCCAGTTGCAGGCAAGCTCCGCTGTCATCAGGTACCACCCTGCCATTCCAGCCGGAAGTCAGGTTCGTGCTGTTTGGGCCTTCCTGTTAGGACGCCGATCATGCATTGTTCATCCAGTGAAACCACCGCCTTTTGGCCTGCCGGATACTATTCCGCAGTTCATTGTGACCACAGTTGAAGGAGAGTCTTTCCTTGCCTCCTCGACTACTGGTCCAATCAAGTGCGTTGGAGAGCTACTTTCATTTTTGCTTTCGCTTCTTTCCCAAGGGTTCGGGACTTTTCAGCAGGCTGTATGGGGAAATCAGTGTGTCTGGTACACAAACTGTTGCATTCGCACTTCGACTCCTCAAGGGGG